CCTGCTGCGCAAGTGCAAGGACCCGAGTTCGATCCCTGGTACCAAAAAAAAAAAAAAAAGAAAGCAATAATTTATGATCTTCATTCTGCCACGTGTACTTGAACTGCAGAATGCAGCTACTCCCATTCATTTCATGTTCATTGTTGTTGTCTTCTTATACTTCACACATAACAAGTAGTAACTGAGCAATCTAAAAGAATTAATATGGTTTCCACAACTATGTCTTGTAGACTTTGGACACAAGTATTAGGAGGTTTGGATTTATTTTTTGATATGTTAAAGCTGTTTCTTCTTCCTTAAGGAACATACTTGGTTATTTAGGGAATAATTATCCTCTTTCTCTTTGAAATTTATAATTTACCAATCAGTAACTTACAATACGATTTCTTTTAGTGTGATAAAAATTACGATGTTCACATGAATGACTCATTAAAATTATCTTATAATTACAGTATAGATGATTTACATGATAACCTGAGTCATTCAAACTGCATTTAACATGAACTTAATATCTGTCACACTCGAATTTATTTTTCAAAATTGATATTTAATAAATGAAATAGATTACCTGGATATAGTAAAATAAAGCAATACGGATTTAGTAAATTTTGATGTGAAAACATAAATTTGAAGAGGATCCTTCAATAATACCTTAGATGTTTTAACCATACTGACAATTTATCAGGTACTTTCATGGCATATGGATAATCTAGCCATCTTGGTAACCCCTCCACTTCAACATTGTTTAATGCTCATCTCTTTAGATATTAAATATTCAAAAATAACCATCACACAAAAAAATTCCATGACATTTGTTCATAGATTCAGAAGCCGCTGTCCCTTTTTTCAGTATAATGCCTTGTTTGGTATTAATAAAACTGTCATTTTTATTCAACTAAATTTGATTTCTTTGTGTATATAAACAAAGAAATGGGTGCTCTCCTTTCTCCAGTCCCTATCAATAGCTGTCTCTTGCTGGGAAAACAGTAACTTAGGCGTTATGTATTGTTAAGTCTTTGAAGTTTTGCACCATTCATTAATCTGATTTTCATGCTACCTATGTCACTGCGTAAGTGTACTACATTAAGGACAACAAAAAATAGTAAGACTTATTTTACTATGACAGCAACTTTATAATTAGTGGCTTCTTAGAACAGCCTAGTACTTAAGAGCAAAAACATTAGTATCAAAACTGGCTTAAATTCTGGACCTACTCCAAATTTGTAAGGTAGGGGATACTGAACAATTTACCTGCAAAATGCTGCTATTAGTAGTACTTTTCCCATATACATATAAGAGGACTGATTAAGGCGGTACATATAATTCACTTAGCACTGGCACTATAGTAGTCACTGTTTACTATCATTATCATGACATTTGCCTTATCATTTGAAATTATATTTGTTTTATATATTCATATTTTCATAAATATCTTAACTGCATCATATGTATGAATTTAACTCATAAATATCTGTAATACATGGTTTAGCATCTTGTTTAAGATGAAGTACATTACTATGAGTAACACAGTATACACATAGACAGCAAGGAATATACCAATGTGGTTATGAATTTTTCCTACCTAATCTATATGTGTATTATTTTAACAACTTCATTTTCTGAAGTACATAATTAGAAAATAAAACTGAATAAAAGGTTCATATTTCTATTACTTAGTTTGTCTTCTAGAGTTTCTTGTTTCAGATAATATTCAATTCAATAACCAAAAGTAATTTACTTGATCTGCCACAGAGCTAAGGTATGTGTATACCTTTATTATGGAATTGTATAATCTGTTCCCTTTCTGCTGGCTTTGCCTAAAATTACCAATTCATTTAATAAGTGCTCAGGAATGATGCTATCAGAATGCTACCCCGGTTCAGTGTTGAATTTGTAGAAAATTAAAATGTATGTTCATATGATATTAACATAACTATCCAAACTGAGTTACATACCTGCATTCAAAAAAGATAAGTTATCCTTTCCGCTCACACTTTCTGGGGCTGTACATTCATATACCAGTGCACACTGGGAAAGAATAAAAGGAAAAATAAGTCAAATCTACTTTAAAACAATTGAAATAAAATTGTGTTTGCAAAAACACAAGTCTATATACATGTTTTCAAGAAATTTTGAAAAAAATCCCTTTTTGTAAAACTATTTCCTTCTTCATCTTAGTCTGAGGCTTATTTTACTTGTGATTATTTATTCAAATTTATATATACAGTGGTACTTTAGTTCATGAACTTAATTTGTTCTAAGATTTTGGAAGAGATGGCCCTGTGTGTGTTTGTGTGGGAAAGATGGCCAGGGTAGTGTTTGACATTTGATGCAGAGTTTGCAGACAAAAACAACATTTTGCCAAACCTTCTGCTTGCAAGCCAAATTGTTTGCAAACAAAAGCGTTCATGAACTGAGGTACCACTGTAATCTTTTTTATTATATAGTTATAGACCTCATTTCAGTTCTGGCTGAAGGCTACTCAGGAAAGAATGTAGAAGAGAATTGTCCCAAATTTGGCAGAGATATGTTCTTACTACACTAAGTCATATTTGATAAACAGATTTGCTACCATTTCTTTTACCTGGGAGAATTTCAAACCCATGGAAGGAAAATTATTTTCTAAACTTCAACTTAAAACAATTTTAACTGAAAGATAAAATATGTTGAAATATCTTTTCAAGCATTTTTTGTCCTTAGCAAAACAATATAAATACTTGTTCATAAAGTATGAGGACCATTTATAAATAAGCTGATACTTCTTTGTGTGGGGAGAGAAAAGGCATCCAGAAGAGTGCATTGATCTTTCCTACAGAGTGACGCATGATGGAAGAGAATGTCCCAGAAAATCCATCCCTACACGTGACACTCTCCCTCAGTGGTCCAAGAAACTATGACTGAGGAAACAAGGCTCTTCTGACACTAGCAGATTGATAAGAGACCAGCTTTCACATAGGAGGATCTAGCATTTGCTACCTTCACCTCTAGTCAAAAATGTGTGTGTGGAGCGGGTGGAAAATAAAGCAGATATACACAAACAAATGTAAACAAAACACACAGAAAGCCTAGAAAGATTTTTGGATGAGAGGGACAAAGGGTCGCATGTAACTTCTGTATGTTTTGTATGACTCTGCTCAAGGGAACACAGGGGCTCAGACAGCTCTCCCCAGGAGCTCAATCTAAGGGTACTTCAAGAATCCCCAAGGCCACTTCTTGGCTAGTCTAACATGTGCCCCCTACACACACACACATTCTACCTTTCTTCCTACAGAGACCAGTCCCTTGAGAATCAGACACTAAGGGCACTATTAAAGGTACAATGGTCACATTCCTTAAACATTTTGAGGAGAATAGCAAATCATTCAAAGCATGTACTTAAATATTACTGTCTTATAGTCTACTAATTTCTCTATTGTTGCATTCATCACATTACTCAGTCAGTTTGCTGATGGGCAAAAAAAAGTGTGCATAGTTTTTCATTGAGGTCCTATATTACTGAAAACATGACTGACTGCTCTAACAAGCTAATATTCTTTAAATAATTTTCAGATCTGCCAGAAATTACGGGTGGTCTCCTTCTTTGAATCCACAGCTAGTTTGGAAATGCACTTCTCAAATCAGTGAAGTTATGTGCACTGATGATTGGCCATACTGAAAGTTTTTTATTTTTACCATTTCCAGTATTTCCTCTACTCCTTCAGGCTATCCAGAGCTGTTAAAATAATCTTCCATAAATACTCTATTCATAATGTCAGTGGTGCTACTCCAGCATGTATAATGGCTGTTTACTGATAAATCAAATGTAATATTCTCATATTGGCTTGGGAATCTTTTCATGATTCACTCCTGACACACTTCCATGTAATAGCTAGATACACAGCGATGTGTCATCCTTTTTCCCAAAGAACAACATCACCAACAACATAACTTACAGGTTTAGATTGAACCTTTTTGGTGAAGCCCGTGATTCATAGAGAGTAGGCCATTATTCTGAGACAGTGGGTTCCTGTATGGAGGCAGCCCTGACTTCTTGTGATCAGAGACAATTTTATAGTGCTTAAGAGAAGGCCTGTGTTGTCTTAAAAGGTGGGTATAGAAATGTGATTGTATCATCCACCCAAATTCAAAGGCAGATATTTAGGACAATTTCAACTCAATAACGTTCTCATTTTTGCAATTTTGTTGTATTTTAAAGCCCTACTCTTCAGAATGCCCAGAAGATTTAAATCCATGGCACATATACAGAAATAATACCCAATAAACAGTTACTACATTGATTAATATTGCCAATTCCTCATCAGGAACCTAACTGACTGGCACATGGATCTGGACCTTCCTAACTCCCAGAACTATATGAAAATATATTCCTATTGTTTAAACTGCCCTGTCTATGGTATTTTAATGGAAGTCCACACTCACTAATACAGGCATTATTCTTTGTTTTATCTGCTTTAATCTATAAGAGACATAACATGTCACTCTCAGGGCACATAATTATAGTGCTAAAAGAAGTTCTATTCCATTCTCTTTAAATTATTCAAACCAGTAATGGGATGTTATTTTAGGAATCATTCCTATTTCAGTTACTTTCTCTTTCATGTATGTCATTCACTCTATTACTAACAGATTGTATTAATACACTTCAAAGGGATTTTGAATTCGCAGAAGAATCCATGTATTTGCAGTTTTAAAAAAGCACCCCCAATGATTGGAACCACACTTTGAAAACCATTGAGATGAAGTTATTTCCTTAAAAATCTTTTAGCTATCATGCGTATCAGACCTTATTACATGTTCTGTACTCAAATTTGAATATTCTTAGAAACTGCCAAGATGGTTTATAAGCCATGAAAAAGGTCAAGGTATGCTAAAAATGTAGACAGGATAGAAATGATGCCAACAATATTTGGTGTGTCTACCATTTTTGTCAACTTGTGACTCGTTCTCCACGTGTGTACTGCCACTGCCACTTTCTATTTCTAGAATAGCTCAGTTACATCTTTTTAAAGTTCATATTACTAAGCCAGAACCTTCCTGTAGGGCTTTAGTGGTACCACATTCTCCATTTATAAAAGGAGTATGGTTCAACTTGCACCACCTCATAATAGGGTCAGTCGAGTCAATGGGTGGGTGAGCTGTGAGGAGAATGGAGAGGTGGTTAAGAATACTCTCAGAGTCAAAGAAAATAGCTCTGCTTTGAAATAGGAAGTGTTTTTACTAACGGTCTCCTGATCTACAGCTGCAGGCCCAGGCATAATGGTGTACCAGCTTCTGCACTCAGTACCCAGCTTAGCACCCCAGTACTCCCCTGTTAATCTGGATATAAGAATTCATGTGGTGTTTGCAAAGATGAGTCTTACAAGGAACTCTAAAGGGAACAAGTTTGGGAATTAAGGGACCAAGTTCTAAAACAGGGATCTTAAGCGCACAAACCCAAAGAGGCCCTGACATTTGCAAATGCCCTGATTTAAACTCCAGGCCTGCTTGGACGATTTTCATGATATGTGCTAATATTCCAAGGGGAGGTTTCAAGAACAGAGAACAAAGACTGGGGTGGTCTATTATGGGGCAAGAAAAATATTTTTTGAAAGACACACTTTTTATAAGATTAATTATTTGGTAACTGTTGGATAAGCACTGTCTCTCTCCTATGTAGATGTTTTCTTAGCACAAAAACTAAGCATGCTACAAGGTAAGAAACAGTAAACTAGGAAATAACTCAGTAGTACTTATCATTTAAAAGTGTTCATTTATAAAAAGACAGAATTTATAGTACAGTATAAAAACCCCACGGGTTTAAAATAAATTACTAGCAGTTTTAAGTTTGTCCCATGTGTCTGAATTGCTTCCATAAAAGAGGTAACTTCTTTCCTATGAAAGAAATCCAGGCTCATATTTATGCCAGGCTTTTCATTCCTGGAGAAAAGGAATCAGAAAGAAAGAGAAACTCCTGGGCACGTGTATATATGCACTTGGCCTTTTTCCTGGGCTTTAAATTAAGCTGCTTCACTTAGAGCGGGCATAGCCTTGCCTCCAGAGCTGTCCCTCTGGTATACACTGTTTCCTGCCTCTCTCTGCAATTGCATAAGGCACAAAGTTCCTGTTCAATCTTCCTTCTTGGACATAAAAATAAAATTCCAATTCAAATTGTACCTCTTTTTAAAAATGTCTTTGGAAGCAGAGTAGGTTACTTTAGTCCGTAGCGCTCCCAGAATATGCAGTGGATCTCCTGCAAGGTTAATCCTGGAAGAACGCAACAATGATCAGCACTTCTGTTCCAGCTGAGAAGAGGTAGGACCCTACCTCTTCAGGGAACAGGGAAGCTGGCAGTGAAGAGAAAGGAGTTTCTGAATGGTGCATAGGTTTGCCCAGTTCCATGCAAATAGGCCCTCTGGTTCAGAGGATGAAACACACATATTGTACTTCAATCCCAGAGTGGATTTCTCATTTAGGTTTTGAATAATGAGATTTCAAACCCCACAGAGTGCCAGTGATAAAGGCATCTGGCAAAGCGGATCATCCCTAATTTAATTTGTGCACCGAGCTGACTGAGACCCTACCTTTTGTCCCTGCACATCTGTCGTGATGTGGCCGGCTTCCCCGTCCTCAATCTCCCCCATCTTCACGACAGTGATTTCTATGGTGCCAACCACCTTGCCACCATCTGAAGTTCTGCAAACAGAAATGAATGAAATGCAAAAGTGAGACTCTTCTCTCTCAAACATGTCCAAAACATGTTTGCTTCTAAAAATCAGTAATATTGCTGTTTACTTTGTTTGTTTTAAACATATTTGCTCAAAACACAGAAAAACAGGCTACTAGTGCTGATATTGTTTTTAATTTCCAATGAAAATTAACCACAGATTCATGAGATAAGGCATGAATCATCAAAAACTACCTCATGAGGATAATCAGGAGCACCCGCGGGGAAAGAGTATTGTGTAATAGATAAATGTCCTATTTGCAAACATCCCATCTCTACCATACCATAAACCATGGCCCATCTATGCTAACTGCATGAGAGAGTATCTGTGTCCATGACAGAAACTACAGCTGAATAAAACAGAAAAGAAAATGAACATCCACGTGTCCCTCTATGGCTGGGCCACTGCTATAAAATCTGACTTTGTATAAATTCCTTAATAATTTTGCTTCCTAACAGAGAAGGTAAAGAAGATTCTGGCCTAGCACACATATGTTAAGGTACATGCAAAGCAGAATTTACACTAGATTTCATCTAGTTCAAACTCTTGCATTTCCAGACAAAGAAGCTGAGACTCCTAAGGATAAGAGGTCTGTCCAAGGTCACAAGTGGCAGCCCCAGGTTGCTAACTCCTTTAGGTATATTGGCCATTGAAAAATTCTTCTATATTTAGTAAGGAAGCTCATTTTATTAGTAGGATTTTCATCATTATTTTCACCAACATAAAAATGTTATGATTGGTAATAGAAATGAATGCAAAGATAAAATTAATCAGTCACCACACATCAAGATTCTCTAGTTTTCACCCATTGAGTGAGCAGTGCCATTTATACTAGAGGAACACCATCCACATAATATTTTTTCCCTTGAGGCTTGTTGTGAAAATAGGTAGCATACAGCCCTGACCTGGTCTGATGTGCTGCTGTAACTTCTACCTAAGGTGAACTGACTGAATAACAATGGTTGCACGATACTTCATTTTCCTTATTAATCGTATTCTTTAATGAAATTTGTTTCTGACTTGAATCTGAATGCTGATGGTGTCCTTCTTTCAATCAATTCCTTTTAACTGCTGCTATTTTATTATTATAAGAGATATCAAAAATAGGAATAGGAAAACTAGTATAAGTAGTTTACCAAAATACAACTTAAAATAATGAATAAGTTAAGTGACAAGGAAACACTTATGTTACCAGATTATGGTAGATTTCTCTACTAAAATAAAGGGTGCAAATTAAAATGGACATTTGAATTATGTTTTTAAAGAAATTGGAGTAGAAAAATCCTGATGATAAGTACACAAGTAATGTCACCAGTGTGAAAAAAATAAAGATGTTGTACATAGAAAAAGAAAAGTGATTTACTGTTAAACAGTATATTATATGAAGTAAAATACTTCTTGGTAATTTTGAAATCAGTGGCAATCATAATATTGACTCAATTTTTTTAAATTCACGTGAAAAACTCAAACATTCATCACAAAGAAGGTACATATACAGGTGACAGTATAATCTGTGATATTGTAGAAAACTGTAATAGCTCCAATTCTGACATGGTTTTAAATAATTCATTATACCATTTCACGCTTAAATATGACATAACATCTTGTCACAAGTCATAATGTGGATTATCTTTGTATAATTCTTCAATACCTATTAATTAAATAGTTTAATGAGAACCCTGATTGGTACTATGAATGGTTTTTCTCTAGAGATTTGCAGATATGTTCCTCAAAACTGATTATCTAGAACAAATTAAGTTATCTTTTTCTTCTCAAAAGAAATGGTTAAGTATTTGTGCATAAATAAACTAAGCTAGCTTAATTTCTCGGAATGCAAATCCTATGTGTAACAGTCTATATTTTGCCACTAAGCTGATGCAAATGATGGACTAAATGATTTGAAACAGCAGGCAAATTCTTCACAGCCTCTTGCAGGCAGTGTAACACACTGGTATGGATCATCATGGTTACACACGTGAACTCAAGGCCTGAATTGGGAAAGGCACAAGAAGCTTTCTTTCCCTCGTTTCTAACTCAACCCATTTCTTAAGGATTAAGTTCTGTGAGATGGCTAATGCAGTAAGTGCATAAGACAGTGCCTTGAAACAGTGCTTGCTGCTTCTTCCCTAATCCCTTATCCCAATATAGTACTGCTGCAGCACTAGCATATACCAAATTGCTATTGCCATTACCACTAATGTATCAATTTATATTAAGCTGATTGTCTCCAGAAATGTTACTGCAACATCCAAGACTACAGTAAAAAGAGTATGGGAAATCATGCCAAATGCATTTTAAGAGTGATTAAACATTCACTGGACATGCAAAGACTTAATGATAACAGATCATGAAATGAAGCCTACTTTTCTAGTAGTGCAGAGAACATAAATCTATAACTACTGCAATCCAAATGAACCTTTCAAAATTACTAAATAGATGAATAACAAATATATGATGGTAATATATTTCTGAGCTATATAGCTTTATCCCTTTTTTGAAGTACCTGGCTACTTACCCAATGATTTTTCTGCCTTTTGGGTTTCCTTTTAATTTCCTATAGTCCCTTTATGAAAGTTTCTGAGAGAAGTCAAAGCTAAGAGTTTGCTTAATCTAGAGATACTGTACAATTGTACTATCAGTTTCCCCTAAAATCGTATTAGGTAGGTAGCTCTTTTGAGTAGCTGGACGTATGTCTTCTCATCTGAGATTTGTGAGAGACAGAATTAAGGAACACAGATTCAAACTGAATCCACACACCCCAAGCATGGTTCACCCTGTCATTTAATTAGAATGCAAAATGCAGAAACAATTTCCTGTTTATTTTATAACCATTTACCACATGAAGACCACAAATATCAACACCTCTCTTCAACTGGGAGAGTCACAAATGAAAAATGTATTTCTTATACCAAAAGATTGTTTCAAAAATGAACTTCATAGAGATTTAGGACAAAAAACCTCAAATGCTTAATTTTGCTATGAACTTATTACCCATCGTATTGGTGAAGGTTAGTAATAGTAGTTTAGCCCATTATTCATCACCAAAATCTACTGGATTTTAACCAATGAAAAGTCATCGCATTACACAGAGGATATATTCCAGAGAGTGCTGGGGTAGGGACCAAGAAACCCAAGTTCTACTTCTACTTCAGCTACTAATTAGCTACATGACCAAGTACTCATAATTTCATTTCTTTGGGTTTCAGTGTATTGTGGTATAAGACAAAGGGTTGGTTTCTAATATACATTCTATAATATGAGTACCAAACCCCATGCTCTAATTATAACTACGATTCCATAAAAGACCATCATGGGTTGATTTGGACTCACGAAAAATCTCGGGCACATTCTATCCTCTCCTCCTTACTCCCCGGTTTCTCAGCCCACTCCCCCCCTCAAACAACCCAAAAGTATGCCAAAACATGGGAAGTAACTGAACAGTAAATTTGACTGACTCAAAACCAGAAGTTATTCTTGTATTCTTTCCTAACAATTCATGAGTCAATGAGATAAAGCTTTTGTTATAAATATCTCAACCTACATGAAGATTAAAAAAAAAAACCCTGTCATTTCAGATGTGTGTTGCCAGGTGATTATTGTTATTGAAAGCAGAGAGCTATAAGAGAGAAAAGGATGGATAGTTTGTGATCACCATACTGTTCCATCATGATGTCATGGTTCTCTTTCCACCCGCAAAGAGGCTTAAATATTTAACAATGCTAACAACATATGGGAGACAAGAAATGGGGAAATTTAAGCAACACAAGTCTATACTCTCTTCTCAACTAGGCTTTCAGATACATAACTAGTGACTACGGCTCTTTAAAATTATGCCTTCAAAATAATTCCCCTAATGCTTCCTAATGAAATATTCAATCTCACCTGCTGAAACATACAAATATTTTTAGAAGACTGAAGGAAAGGGAATGCAAAACAGTCTTGTAACTAAGGGTAATTTAGTGACAGTTTCTTTCCCACTATTCTGCCATCCTTAGTAGAGCAAAAGGAGAAAAAGAAATGATAAAAACCTTTGGAATCATTAATAGAAAAATGTAAATAACTCCCCTGGTTTGGAACGGCCACAAAGATGCAAACTGACAAATAACTGTAAACACCCAGGGAGAAACCATCATTAGCTCTGTCAGTCTTTGTGAATATAAAGTAGCACTGGTGCCATACACAGGAATTTGCAGCTGCAAGACATGCTTTGCATCTAGCCATCCAGACATATAACTTAGGAAATGAATATCCCACCCACACAGAAAAATAAGCCAAGGCCATAAGTGAACAAATAGAGCCAGTGGGTGAACGAATCTGCTCTGCCGATTTTTCAGGTGCATACAATCATACAGCAGTGCTAGATTTACTTAGGGTTTCCTTAGGGTTTATGGAAGCAAGAGTTCTATTTAAGTATGTGTAAGAAAAAACCCTTCTATTTTGGATGAAATTCACCAAAGTCAGAGTCCATATAAGACTTTCAAACTAATAGCCAAATAAAACTTCTTGGTAGTTCTTAATATTAACAGCTTATGCATTCTAAAGGTTAATCTTTTTTGTTGTTCTTTTCTCACTATCAGCTCACCTGCAGAAATCTCATCCATTGTCATAAGATTCAGTTATCCTTCTGTAAAGATTTAACACAATTCTACATTCCCAGCTGGATCCCAATTTCCCAGTCTAGAATTCCAAATTCCTTTCATGCTGATCTCATCCTAATACATTTTATTAGCTTGAAACTCATTCTGCACTTTCTCAAAACTAAACTCATTCATATTAATAGCATGTCTAAAAACAAAACCAAAAATATTCAATTTCTACTTTTGTTTTTGTCTTTATCCTCCAATAAGTTACTAAGCCCGAGAGTGTCTCTTCCTCCATCCTGTCTCTTACATATATCCTTTCCCAATAGCAACCTCCTGATTAGTTTCTTTACTTCCCTTAGGTCATACTTGAAGAATGTACTTCCTG